AGCAGGCAGGCAGACAAATTGTCGAAAGCCGTCTGTCTTCCGGGCTTCGGAACCAAAAGGGAGGAAAAGGGCCGGCGGCCGGCGCACGGGCTGCCGTCGTTAGGTATCGCGGAAATTGCGGGTGTTACCGACTCTGAAGTCAGGTTGGCATGGGTCTTGACTTCTTGCGAACGATGTGCGCTACCGAGATGAATTGGACGAGGCTGTTTCTATCCGTGCCACGCCGCCCTGTCCAGCAGTAGTCGGCGTTACGATCACGTTCCGTGTCCGGACATGCTGAACAACAGGAAGTCAGCAGAAACTTGGCAGCAATATACACTTCCTTCGCTGAACGTACCGAATCTCCGGATCGTTTGCTGACTGAGAAGGAGCGATTTGCTTCGCCTCCAAGTCCGCCCGCCTGTACTTCGATGCGTTGCCCGCGATCGCTCCCGTTTACGTCCGTTTTCAACCTTTCGCTGATGATCTGTGGTAGCTATAGCAATGCAAACCGGGATATTAGATGTTACGCCAATCGAATCTCTGTTGCGAAGATATCCGCTTACCAGCCAAAGCTCGTCTTGATCCCGAAGAATCATAAGCACCACTCCAATAGCATGAACATTCTCATCGTCCATAGCATTCTTGGACTTTGAATACAGAACGTTTGGCGTAATGACCGTGGCCAGGTTCTCGAGACCCATCTTATTTCCGTGATCTTCGACTTCAGAGTAAGATGCCACTTGCCGCAAGAAAAAAGCAAGAACCGCAAGGAAGTCAAGGTTGGCTTTCGGTAGCATGCAGCAGACGTAATGCAGCGCTTCTTTTCGACGGGCCACGGACATTCCTGAAACTGCTACTCAGTAACCATGGTGGCCCAGGCAGGAGTATGATTCGAGCTGTACCTTGCGTTTTTACAAACAGCTTGTGGAGCTTGAAGGTCAATAAAGGTTCTGGCATATCCCGCAAGAACTTTTTCAGCAGAGCAGCAATCTGAACAGGGTGGTCATGCGTGAAGTCGACAGATCTTGGGTCTCTATCGATGTCGTCCGACACGGTTTTCAGTTGCCGGATGTTGCCATTCTTCCTGAATATCCCTTCCACCTTCAAATCTACATGCACATGTTAGCTTGTCTTCTAAAGATCTACAGGCGAGGATGCTTACCCATATTGTTCAGTGCTTTGATGCACGAATCCAATAGCACTGGGACATGAAGCTGCCCTGGACGAGGGCCCAAGTCCGTATCTATGCCATATTTCTCGATTAAGGACTCCAAAGGTACGCCAAATGTACCCTCTGCAGAGACGCGTGTTAGTACGTCACCAAATCATGATTGGAATCGCTTCAAATTACCTTTCGTTTTGGCAGGCTTTCTTATGGCCTCTACCATTCTTCCCCACACGGATTGCTTCCGCGCGCATGCCACATCCATTAATTCGCTGAGCGTGAAATGGTCGGCGACCAAAGGATGTAACGCCTGTGCCGCAAGCTGTCGCACGGCCCAGTGGTCCAGGCCCGAAAGATCAAGCAGGGATGGTACATCATGGTCAAGAGCGTCGGGATTTCGGATTCCGTTTCCATCCATGCCATTGCGTCCAGTCGAGGGATTAGATGCTTGCAAAGGGGCGCCGCGTGGCCTCGGGTCCATAGTATCCATTGCGTCCATATGTATCAGAGCCTCGTTCGAGAGAGCGATTACGGAAGGATCCCGTGAGTCATGCACCGCGCTAGCACGTATTGACGAGACATCCCCATTGCCTGCGCGCAAAGGTCATTAGTCAAATGATAAGCATTGATTCCGAGCGCCACGAAATTACTTGATGACGCCGAGCCGCGCGACTCCCTTGCCGAAAGCGATGAAACTAAAAGAATACAAGAAAGCTTAGTTCGTGGACGTTCGAGGACAAAAGCACAAATGGCCATACTTTCAATGTTGAGCAACGCGCATAACCGCTTCAAAGCGCATCTCAACAAAAAGATATATTGATCCAGTTGCGTGACCCGGCTGAATCCCGTGACGCTTCCCGCGATGGCATGCGTGGCGCAAAAGCAGCCTCCGGAAGCCGGATCCAAGGTCGCGGACTCCATGCTTGCCCTCAGGTCGTCGCCGTCCACCGTACAGCGAAAGCAAGAGCCGTGCCACCGCTGAAATCCATGTCGAACGCATCCTTCTTCTACCGGCTCCATGCACTTTGCACAAAGATCGGGATTCGGGTCGGAGCCGCAATCATCCAATGTACGATTTTGCCCCGACGTCTGCCATTCCGAGGACGCAAGCCGATCCAGAAAGTCAAGTACGGCGGTTCCAAGATTATGATCTCGTTCCTATAACAGGCAAGCGTCAGCAGCCGTGCGGTCAAAGTCTCCTCATGCATATGCCATACCAGTTTCAAGGCTCCAGTAAGAGCAAACCGGATGAGGATCTTGAGGGTATGCGCTATGCTCGTTACCAACGAGATCATCTCTTTGGTTGCCTCTTGTCTCGATTCGGCATTATCTTGTTGCACGTAAGACAGGAGTGAGAAAAAATGCACGATCTTTTTCGTCAATTGCTTGGGCTCCTTCGAGTGGTGTAGCCCGGTTGCATCGTCAACCGACTTCAGCTTCGACTCAATATCATCGATGACCGAAAAAAGTGCCGCAATATGGCTGACGAACGTTGCGGCCTGAACGACACCTTCCTGGCGTTTCTCGTGGGAGAAACGAATGAGCATGTCAGATATGCACTCGGCGGACGATTCTTCGAAAGCCGACAAGACGTGCAAGATCCTGCCGGCTTTCTCAGCGATTGCTTGATGCGCAATGACATCTGCTGAGGAATGCGAAAAACGTGAGCTACATGCTCCCGCTGTCCGGCTGCTATGTAAAACGTTACCTTGCTCGATCTTCGGAGATTGTGCGTCCGGTGCGTCTGGTAGCGCGGGGCTTAGTGTGACGTTCCAAAGCTGCGAGAAAAATATTAGAGCGGATCAGTTCCTCTGTTTTGTACCTCAGAGGTCACTCACCTTGTAAATCATATAGCACTCAGGATGCCACTTCTCAGTCCAAGCTCCCTTATTGGTCTCGACGAAGCTTTTGAGTACCGCAGTCTTGCAGCCTCCGCACTTTGCCGCAAAGAGGAACGAGTAATGCAACTGGCAGTAGACGTGCCCTTCCTGCTCGTAGTACGAATCGTGCTGCCGGAACACCGTCGGACACACGGTGCACGTGAAGTGCTCCAGATGATACTTTTTCCCAAGAGCATCGATGTGTGCCCCACGCAAAGCTCCCCCGCACTTTGCACACAACAGATCCAACCGTCGGAAGTAATCTTTTTCGCAGAAAAAGTGTTTCTGGCCATCTGGTCCCGGGAGCGGAAAGAACTTCTCTGCCACGACTTGTTGGCAATCCTAACATTCACCATTCGAAGGTTGAGCGGCAAATTTCCTACGCATACTGGCCCTCTTAACGGCTGCCATACCTGGCATCGAAAGCAGTCCAGGTGGTAGTGCCCATTCAGTGCCCTCACGAACTGTCCATCGATGACGAGACCACAATGACTGCAGCAGCTTGGTACTATCGCCGTTGGGTCATAATCCGTCGGTGTGGCGACATGTGCGTGTCCGGGCATGGTCAATCCAGAAGGTCGGACCCTAGCAAGTGAGGAACACGGCGATACAATTGGGACGCAGACAACGAGTGGATGTAACAGAGGAGAGCCTCAGGAGAGCGCACGGACTCTTGGTGAATGCTCGCTCTTTCGTGAACAATGATATCGGCAAGGTGGACCGCGAGCTTCGGCGGTAGTGCGGCCGGGCCAGGTGTGACTACCCCAGTTGAACGACGGGTGAACGAACGGAGAACAACTCCGGGCGATGCACGGACGTTCGATGCGTGTTGCTCCTGGCACGGACGTTTCCAACGAGGTTTGCAGTCTCTAGTGGGAATGTACAGACCGAGTCTGCGCGGCGGGGCCAGGGACGTATGTAGTCGCTGGTTGCTGGTTGCGGGCGTCGAGTTGACTTCGTAGTTTTGTATGCATGTACTTTGTAGTTCTCTGTGCCGTTTCTCTCCGAGAGCAGAGCAAAGAGCTGGGCGAGTGTCGGACCTTTCTGGTGCGAAGAAGGTAAAGTATACGAGAGGAAGGATGTTTGGGCGGGAAGGCCGTGGCGGCAAGGTCACTTGAGGGAGTCAGAGGAAGATGAGGAACCCCCAGGGAGGCAGGGGAGAAGGAGAGCGAGAGTGGGTGTGTGTGTGGGTGTGAGTGGGTGCCCTTGTGTTACCTCGCCCTCGGAGGACGAGCCTCCGACAACCCCTAACCGCAAATGCTCGTCTCGATTTTTGCTTCATTTTGCACCAATTGGTATGTGAACGTCTTGGCAGTCTGCACCGCGTGCATTACCGGTATATCGTTTGTCTGAGAAGACGAGATTGATGGTAGAAATTGATGTTTATCACCTATCCATCCTCGTAGTGGAGCCCATTCCCCATCCGTATTTCTCGAATCGGCAGCTACAGGACATTTGACACGGTTCTGCCGGTACGTCCTCCATGGGAAGGGATGGTGTCGTGAGACCGAGTCTAGACTGGATTTCGCAGCTCCATCCTGTATGGGCCTGCCCGTGACGAGCGAGATAATCCTTCCCTTCATGAAATCAGCATCTCCGATTGGTCTCGGACGATGACAAAAAGCAACCGCTCGCAAATAGAATCACCCGTCGTCCTCTCAGCCCTTCAGCAGTGAATCAGTCAATTTGACAGCCCGTGGTAACATGGTTTTACTGCGCAAAATAAGACTCTCCCGTCGTCCTCAAATGATGCCATGGTGGGCCGCGAATAAGTTGAAGCTGCTTCTCTGTACGACAGAACCCTCACTTTCTCTGCAGCACTGGTCCGAGCAAGCATTCATTCCTCGACTTGGTAGGTCCGACGATGCCTTGTGCGGGTAACAGCCGCAAACGTGATATTAGCCGCAAACATTCTGCATGTCGCTGAGCAAAAGTAAATAAGATGTCTATCCAACGTATTTCCTCCATCATCGGCATCCATGGCCGAGTGGTCTAAGGCGGTAGACTCAAGTTCTATTCTCGCAAGAGGCGCGAGTTCGAACCTCGCTGGATGCATATCTTTTTATGTCTCTTTTGACCAGCGATCCTATTGGCTTGTCTTACCGGAAGCAAAACGGTCGTCCACCCCTCAAGTCGGTTGAAGGCGAGTCGACGAGAAAATTAGCTGTCCAAAAGGACGCGTAGCTGGTTTCTCTGGAGTCTGGAGCTGGTCCCAGGTTCCCCACCGTTACCGGGACCAGCTGGACGCGGGGTTTACGACCGCTTTTTTTACGGTAGACAGACCAAGGACGGCTGGTTAAGAGAGAAATACAAAACTTTCTGCATCCAGCGAGGTTCGAACTCGCGCCTCTTGCGAGAATAGAACTTGAGTCTACCGCCTTAGACCACTCGGCCATGGATGCCGATGTTGGAGACAACTTCTTTGGGTAGATATTCTCTTGTCTTTTGCTCAGCGACATGCATGTCCAGGCCTGAAGGTTAGCACTGTATCACCGTATCCGTCCCCCATTGGTCGTTGACGGAGTAGCAAACGCCATTTGACCTTGATACAGGTGATGCAATTCCCAGCCTTCAACTTTCCCTATAGTGCCAGCGATGGGACGAGCAGATTACAGATGCACTTTCCCCAAGTATCTGGTAAGCTACAGGCTTAACAGCATGGATTGCGGCGTGATGGATGATACTTGTACCCTTGGATATCATTGAAATTTTTTTCGAGACTACTTCTTATCATCCTCTTTCTCGTCTTTCTTTTCCGGGGACGTATTACCGCCCAAAGCCGCGCGGAGACGGGGGTCATCCAGGTTGACACCGGGAAGAGATCCCAGAAGTGAGCTCATGTCCACGGCCGGAGTAGTCGCCGAGTCGGTGTCCATGCTGGTAGGACCGCTCTGCAACAAGAAATTGAGATCCCGGCATCATCTGAGAAAAACCGAGGCATCTCCATACCCCTTGTCCCATTGACATCGCAAGGGCGGCAGCCAGATCGTCGTCTTCGTCGGAGGCACCAGCAGCGATAGGAGAAGAGTACGCCGCATCCACCACCATGGCATCCGATCCACTCGCCGCCGCAGGGCCGCCCTGCCTTGCCTGCTCCTCCTCCATCGATATCCGAAGAGCCTAAGAGACCCGATATGAGACCGCGTCCGCAAACAGGATCCGCAATGCTGACTAACCAAAGCCAATTCGGGGTCCAGGTTGGGATCAACCCCGAATTCAAATCCACCACCAGATGCGAAGCCCGGAGGTGCCCCGTCCTCGCCTGCTACGATAGGAGAGGAGATCAGGACGTCGCTGAGAATATGGGGACCGGGAGGGATCGAAACGAGATGGCTGCGAGAAAACATCAGCCAAGTGAAAGGGACTGTACCGTTGGCCACTCTCATCCTTATCCCACCTGTTGTCGCTGCTGTTCACAGCCGCAATGAATGCCTCTAGCTTAGTGGTGTTCTCCGCCTCTTCACCAAAGTTAATGATGTCAACAGCAATGTTGTTCTTTTTGAGCTTCTTTCCGAGCCGGACAACCGTCTTCTCGTCCTCGGCCAGTGGACTGCCCACAAAGACAATGATGCGCTGCTTTTGGTTCTTGTTTTGTCGGTGCTTCAGTGCGAGCTGGGCAATCTGCACACCAGTGCTGAGGTTGCTGTTCCCCGAAATGCCGATGTGGTGCAGAGCCGTGAGGATTTTGCCGATATCAGGCGTCAAGGTCACAAGAACCTCCGGACTACCGTTGGTGATCATAATCTTTGCATGAGAACCTGCGACACACTGCGCGGTGCACCAGATACGTACCTTTTTCCAGCCATTGTCATGAGCCCAACTGTGTTTTCCGGATTGCTCTGTGTTTTGGCATTGAAAAGAAACGTCACAGCATCTGCCTGGGCCTCCATCCGAGTGGGAGTATAATCTCCGTTACGCATCCACTCCGAATTGTCAAGCCTTTGGTAAAGAGGCAATGTCAGTGCTTGTGACGCGTTCAAAACTGGAAAGCTTCTGGAACTGCCAAACATACACCAAAACAGTAGCTTCGAGTACCATGTCTCCGGTATATGAATTTGAGTCGAATTCCGGGCTGCAGAAGACAAACAGGCTATGGAGTGCACAAGCGGGTTATGAATTGCAAGTACTGAGATGTTGAAGAGATGGACGAGCCGGAGAGGGAAGAAGACGCGTAACACCGGTCTCTGAAGTACCCGTTACGGCCGCGGACCACTTCTTCCCGATGTCGAAACAAAGCTCAATGACTCCCCGACCAGCACATAGCTGCACGCATACTACACACCCCAAATCATCATGTTCACGCCCAGTAAGTCAAGAGCAAGGTAAAGGCTGTTTACTGTATGCAAAAGGTCCCATGAGGAGCCGTCAAGAGTTGCTGTCCAGCTTGTTCGTGAAGCTGCACAGCCTTCTTGGTCAAAGCACAGGCCTGACCTTCCTTCGCGTTCCCACAGGTTTGACCATCCAGCACAAACGCAAACCCGCATCCAAGTTCTGGTCTTCGCCGTTTTGACATCACGGGGAGTCACGTCTCCAGAGTAAAGACGCGAAAGCTCGTACCGTGGTTCTTCGACAATGAAATTCTCGCACAGCATTCAGTTGAACGCTTCCCCAGAATGGACCGAAAACTACCTGTATGTGGATTCCGTACTGGCAGATCGGTAGCATTGCTTGTTGTGACTGATTCCTGGCATTCCCCAGGGCCTACTCTCAGTTGAAAAAGGCGATTTACGCTATCGAGAAGGCCTTGCTGGGCGTTGAGCAGCTACCGGCATCTCCACGCGATATAGAAGCGGACAGCTTCGACGAGAACTCTCCTTTGATCGACACGCAGCGCGGCACGGTCTCGAAACTCTCGCCAGAAGATGGCACTGCGTTCTTCAGCAGGGCTCTGGACGACCAACTGGAAAAGATCAACGCTTTCTACACTCGAAAGGAGGATCTTATAAAGGGCGAAGTTGCGGCTTTCGTCGCAGAGGTTCGAGCGTTGGAGGAGATCGAGGGCGCCCGATGGGACCTTGAGAGCGTGAACGTGGAGAATGAGGGCCCAGCAGAGTCCATCAGTCATCGAACCAGCGAAGAACCTACACCTTCCTCGCCTCGCGAATCTAGCGGCCCTTCCGCGTCAAATGTGCGGGGAACGTGGCCACGACGCATGAACTCGGTTCCAGCGGGAGGGAAACCGGTCGTTGGCAGACGACCTGTGTCGGGGGATTCGGGCTCACAACTGTGGGCCTCGAGGAACATGAAACAGAACCGACAGCGGTTTGGCAAGAAGGCGACCGACTTGTTCATTCTGCTGTCCGAGCTCAAAGACTATGTCGACCTCAACTACACTGGGTTTAGCAAGATCATAAAAAAGTACGACAAAGTGACCGGGTCCAAGCTTCGACGGTCTTACATGGCCACGAAAGTGGACTGCACCCGTCCATTCCGACCTCACTCAAAGGACACGATCTCGGACATGATCGATCAAATCGTCTCCATTTACGCTACTATTCGAACTGACGGCAAGGTTGCGATTGCCTTGACGGATCTCAAGAGCACTCTGCGCGAGCACGTTGTGTGGGAGCGGAATACCATCTGGAAGGATATGATCGAGCAAGAGCGGAAGCGAGAGACGATTGGCTTGAGGCCTGGCGATAACGATGAACGTCCGACGGACGGGCGGAGAGAGATCACTTGCCTGGGGAGGAAGATCGCCGTGCCATCCATCCATTGGCAGTGGCTGAAGGTTGCGCTGTGTATTGGAACATTTATCTTTCTTCTGCTTTATCCAACGTTTGAGGCTGTGGAACAGCGCAACTGTCTTGCGATCTTGGTTTTCGCATCTTTGCTGTGGGCGATGGAGGTAACTCGAATACGTCAACTCCTGCTTCCACGCGTTTATTCAGAGCTTTGTTCTGTGTAGGTGCTACCGCTGTTTACCACTGCCATCCTTGTGCCATTCCTGATTGTACTGCTTCGCGTCCTGAGACTCCCAGTTACTCATCCGCATTCCGACATCACATACGAGCGGCTGACAGCCAAGGATGCCGCCAAGAAGATCTTCTCAGACATGTTTGGACCAGTGATCATGCTTCTATTAGGGGGCTTTTCACTTGCTGCTGCACTCAGCAAGCACAACATCGCCAAGGGTCTTGCCTCTTTTGTCCTAGGAAAGGCCGGGAGCAAACCTCAAGCGGTCTTGCTTGCCAATATGTTCGTGAGCACCTTTGCGAGCATGTGGATCAGTAACGTTGCAGCGCCAGTGCTTTGCTTCTCTCTCATCACGGTATGGAAAGCTTCTCCCCAACATGTCCGGAAGTTTTCATACGATTGTAACCAGCAGTTCGCCTCTTAACAGCCGATCTTGCGTAATCTTCCTGCACGGTCCGCGTATGGACGTTGCCTCATCATGGGCATCGCCATGGCAGCCAATGTCGGCGGTATGGCGTCACCCATTTCCTCGCCGCAAAACATCATCGCAATCGGAACAATGGACCCGCCACCTAGCTGGCCTCAATTCTTTGCTGTCAGCATTCCTCTCGTCATCGCTATGGACCTTCTCATCTGGGGAGCTTTACTCATGATTTACCGCCCGCAAGACTCTGCGGGTGCTGCCCCACCTGAACTTTTTGGGAGGGTCAGCTATTTTGCGGAGCATCCCCTGGACCGCAAGCAGTGGTACATTATTGGCGTTAGTTTGCTTACCATCATCCTATGGTGCGCCGAAAGCGGCTTGGAAGACTACGTAGGAGACATGGGCGTCATTGCTATCGTGCCAATCGTCGCGTTCTATGGCGCGGGAGTGCTGACGAAAGACGACTGGAACAGCATGCTGTGGTCTGGTAAGCATGAGCGACACCTCCTTCGTTTATGTTGATCGACGCTTGGTGCTAATTAACTTTCCCCGATAGTTGTCATGCTCGCAATGGGAGGCATCGCTCTTGGAAAAGCCGTGGATTCAAGCGGCCTCCTCGCTGAAATCACCAGTCTCCTGATCCCGCATCTTGAGGGCCTGACGCCATTTAAGTGCCTCGCGCTTTTCTCCGGACTTGTTCTTGTGGGAACGACCT